AAACCAGATACTGCCAGCCTCAGAAAGCATTCCCACAAGATACTTCTTAATTACTTGTGGAAAAGTAGTAGCTCTGCAGAACAGAAACCTTGCAGACACGGCCTTAGCCAAGCAATCCAAGTAATCTGACATCATCAACAGTAATTAGAAGAAAGGACATCAAGTGCTTCCCGATACGATCGCTGAGAAGGGCACAACACCTCTGTGATATTCCTACCAAGAAACACATACCCCGACTCTAATGAGGAGGAAACATCAGGCAAATCCAAATTGAAGGACATTCTATTAAGTAACTGACCTGTACTCTTCAAGAGGTCATGAAAGAGAAAGACTGAGGAACTTTTTGAAAGAGTCCAGGAGATCTGACAATTAATTGACAAAAAGAAGACAATCAGCCATGGTAGCGCAATGATAATGAGATGTTCAGCGATGTCCAAACCACACGAAAGGTCCTGGGTTCACAATCTGAGGTCGTTCTGTGCATTCTGGGGGCTCACGTACATGTGCCCATAATCCTGACTAGCTGAAGCTGGATCGTGGCATGAAAATCCTGTTGAGAGTACCTGTCTCTCTGTCTCACTATCTCTATCTCTTTAATTCTCTCTCATGGAAGAAATAAGCAAACAAAAATAAAGGGCTGGCTCCAGGGCCTAGTGGTTAAAGGAGCCTGATCCCACATGGCTAACTATATGGTTGAAATCCCAGGCCCTGGTGACCTGAAAAGCACTCCAGATGCAAATGCATGCATGCCCCAATCCTAACAGGATAGAGAAACAGAGGAGGAGGAATTGCAGTGTGACCACACCCCACTGGGGTGTACTTTCTTAGTCTCCCTCTCTCTCTGACTCTCTGGTGACAATATGTGCCTACTGGCAAAAAATAAATAAATAAGACTAAATAATATAAAAGACTTTATCATGAACCCTAGGACTTGCTAAAACAGGGTGATCAACCTACCTGCTTGGCCAAGACTTTCCTGGCTTCAGAACTCAAAGCCCCAGGTCCCAGAAAAAGTCATTAGTTCCAGCAAATTGGAACAGTTGGCCAACCAACCCTGAAGCATCACTGTCTGACCCATATAAAATAAAATGTTGTCACGTTTAAAAAGCACCAAATGTGCATCACGAGCCACTAAATGCCAGTGGTACAGAAGTGCAGTCCTGCAGTCGGGCTCCCTATCCCAAGTCCTCCTGGGCCACTTTCTGGCACTGACCTTTAGTAGATCACTTACTTTCCACGTGTCTCAGTTTCCTCATCTGTAAAATATAGATATGAAAGTGAATGCTAATGTAAATTATGAGCTTTGGGTGATAATGTTTCAATGTGGGTTCACTGACTGTAACATATGTACCACACGGATGCCTGCTGTTGGTAGTAGGGGAGACTGTGTGTGTGCGTGTGTGCGTGTGTGTGTAGAGGGCGGAGAGAGTAAATGGCAACCCTCGCTACCTTATCTTATTTTATTGCATTATATAATATAATATTATTTATTTAAATTGCCACAGGGCACATGCGCTAACCAGGGAGAGAGAGAGAGGAGAGGGAAATCACCACCCGATGAGACGTGGCCACATCGTAGATTAGGACCACCAAAGGCCTTCTGCCCAGACTTCACCCTCCTGCCCCCCGTATTTAGCCAGGAGCCAGGTTGGAACACCCTATTTATTCTCTCTACTTATCTCCATCACTCTCTATTTTTAATTAAAAAAAATTTTTTTTTGAACTTCTTAGCTCTCTGCCACTCTTTTGTCTTGCTAATTCTTACCTTTCCCCCTGTGCCCACAGGACAAGCCAATCAACAGCCATCTACGTCTCAGGCAGCCCCACTGTGTGGTGTGCTAGCGCACTGTGCGGTTTTCAATTTTTGCTCAACATTTTTTTTCTTTTTTTTATTGTTTCTGTTTTCTTTTTTCTTTTTCTTTTCCTCTTTTCTTTTCTTTTTACCTTTCTCACTTTTCTGCTCAGCCTCCATACACTAATTTTAGAAGGTCTAGGTGCTCAGTAGCCTACTTTCAGAGTTAGATTGATCCTCAATTTCCCCCTGCACAAAGGGAGAAAAACGGTAATGTTTAGATACGCAGGTCACCTCCTTCTGCATTCCTCTGAATGCTCAGATTTAACTCCAAAAACTAAGAAAAACATGTAATTCATCTGATGACTAGAAACTACTGCAGAGACACAAGAAATATGAGAAACCGAGAAAATATCTCTCCCCTAGGGGAAAAAATTAACTCCTCATCCTCCACAGACAATACAAGGGAACTCATGGAAATGTCATATAAAGAATTTAGAATATTCATAGTGACAAAGCTAACAGAGATGCAAGAGAAGAGAGATGACAAACTCCAGAAGATGCAGGAGAAAAGAGAAAACAAGTTCCAGGAGGTGAGGAAGTTCTTGCACCATCTGGAGGAGGAAATACACATCATAAAAAAGAGTCAAATGGAATGATTAGAAATGAAGGCTATAATACAGGAAATCAAAACCTCCCTTGAAAATATCAAAAGCAGACAGATTACATCATACAGAAGATTGAATCTCAGACGTAGAAGATAGAACCTCTGACCTAGAAAAATTCACCAAAAAGACTAAGAAAATAACCCCCCAAAATGAAAATAACATATAAGTAATACTACTAGATATTATTAAACATCCAAACATCCGGATCATCGGTATTCCAGAAGGTAAAGAAACTAATAAGGGCATTGCTAATCTATTCCTTGAAATCCTAGAAGAAAACTTTCCAAACCTAGAGAGGCACTCAAAAATCCAGACCTAAGAAATGCAAAGGATCCCACATAGAATCAAGAAGATCTTCCCCAAGGCACATCATAATCAGATTGATCAAAACCACAGACTGAGAGAAGATAACTAAATTTGGCAAGAGGGAAACATCAAGTCACTTTCAAAGGATATCCCATCAGGCTAATGTCAGACCTCTCAATGCAAGTAAAGAAAGAATGGGAAAATACATTCAAAGTGTTAAATGAAAAACAATTTCGGGGACCAGCAGGTGGCATGGTGGTTAAGGTGCTGGACAATCCCACATGGCTGACCATGGTTCAAGTCCTGGACCTGAGGGCTTGCTTTCTCACTTTCTCTCTCTTCTTTCTATCTGTGTGTGTGTGTGTGTGTGTGTGTGTGTGTGTGTGTGTGTGTCTGGTCAAATTAAAAGAAATGAATGAATAAATAAAATAAGTATTTAAAAAAAAGAGTTCTTTAACTTAAAAAAAAAAAACAATTTCAACCAAGAATACTATACCCAACAAGATTATCTTTCATATGGCCCCCCCAAAAAAAGCCAAAAACATTCTTAGAGAAACAAAACCTGAAAGAATTCACCAATACTAGACCGGCTCTCCAAGTAGTGCTGAAGGGAGTGCTATAGCAGGAAAACTAAAGTCGGACATACAAAAATATGAGTACAAAACACAACCAAGAGAATGACCAGCCTAATGGTAGAGTTGAATACTAACTTCCAGAGTTTAAAAGGAACAATCAGACAACAGTAAAACTAGAAATTCAACAGAAGAGAGATGAATTACATTACTAGTGTAATAGAATTTTTTGACATTAGTCTAAAACGTTACTGATTTTATTTGATGCTTTGATTTCCATATCTAAGGATTTTTGTCTTCTCTTCAACTGTTGATAGGTTCATCTCTACCTACTATTTGAACTGAATCCTAATCTTTTTCCTGGCTTTAAGTTTTAAGCAAATTTCTCTTAACATTTTTTTATTTTGGTCTATTAAACTGTTTCTCTTGAAATTAAAAAATGCATTAAAAATACCCATTAATACCTATGTAATGACTGCAGTAAGCTATATAACTCCAGTTAGGTACTAATTTATAACATGTTCCCTTTACTCACTGAGGTTTACACCTAAAATCAGATATGTTTATAGATATGTATATATTAACTGTGCTTGCTATAGAAAGTTTTTTAATTAATTAAGATCTTTAGTGAATCAATAAAATATAACAAAAGGCTCAGAAAGCAACTGTAGATATCAGAGACAGTGTGGGAGAAGGGAGAAACTGGCAGAGGGTAAGAGGTAGGGAATTAAGGGGGGGAAGTAAAATATATAAGAAACAAGAAATAGAAAATTATTTGTTGATGATAACATGTGTGGTAATATTCTTGACTGAGCCAATACATAATTTATTCTGGATAGAAAATCTCATTTTGTATACTGTATTGATGTACAGTGGATGACTAAATTTAAAAATTACAAATTAAAAAAAAAAGGCATGGCCAAATCACAATCTTTTTCCTTCCATTTTTCCATCCCTTCAAGATTCTGGGTATTGCACAGAAACAGACAGGTGGACTAATGAAACAGAATTGAGTCCACAGGAATAAATGCCCAAATATATAGTCAACTGATTTTTTTTTTTTTTTTTGGAGAGGTTTTCACTGTAGGGCGCGTGTGCTCGCCCGCAAGAGGGG